CATTTTCTCAATTTTTTGCGCATAATTTCCGGACACCATGTTCATCCTGTTTTTTTTGTTTTTATAAAAATATCTGAGAATATTACTTTTCAATGGTTCAAACTTGAACAATAGGAATTTGTTATTTTCATAGACTCCAATCGCAGATTTGTGATGAGGTTTCCTCAATTCAGAATCTCTTCACACGTCCTGTATGATGAATATTGGTTTATCATGAATTCAAGAACAAATTTCCAGATGACAATGGTTATCTCAACAAATCATAATTCTGATGTCAGTTTGTATAGTTCCAGTTGGATTATAGAAAAATGCAAATTGTGTATATCATTGAGAATGGCTGAAAAAATAACTGGACATCAGGTTACTGATGAGGATTCTATATCCGAAATGAGTTTTATTCGAGTGATGTCATATATCCTGTTTGTGAGAGGAATTTTTTTCGTCTCACTGATACGAATGATTTTTTTCCGGAATTTTCAAGCTCATCAAGACCAGAGTTTATACAAGTATATTCCTCCTATACATTTCAATTTCCTTTCATATTTTTATTTCATAATACATCATATTATAATATTCGATTCGGGAGATGATATTAATTCTCAATTTCAGAGGATAATGATCTTTCATGCTCTATTTTTGTATATTCAACAGATATAATACTATGTTTGACGTGGCAAATAGCCAGGAAAGTAATTGTTTTATGTTGAAAATTCAGAATGATATTGTATGCATATCTTTATATTAAGGAGAATGCAAATTCTCTTCTTTAGGCGATTTTGTTTTTGAATTCTTATCGTGTGAGTTCGCCAAATATCATGCAATGTTCGTCGTGGCATACAGCCAGAAGAGTAGTTTTTTTTGTTAAATGAACCAAGAAAAAAATAATACTTTCATCACATGGAGAAAGCGAATTCTCAATGTATTCCTTCATATATATCCATCTTTTGTGTTCATTAATATATCTGGGAATATTCTCCTTCAATGTCTCCAAATGAGTCTTCAGCACCAAGTATCAGGTAGGCAACCAGGAAGATACAACCTATATTCTTTGAACATTTTTGGGATTTCTTTTCGTGCGCTTCAAGCGATAAAAAAATCTTATTTTGTTAGGTAAGATTTTTCGGAATATTTCATATCTTGCAGTCGTTTGAAGTGTTTGGAAATCAAGATCCAAGATGTCTTTATAATTTCTCTCCTCTAATTCATCTGATCATCTCTATTCTGTTGTTAACGATTGACACCTCAAGAAACATTCAGGAAGAATGTTGCGTACCATGGCGTATGGCATCATTGATCCTTGCACATTATATCTTCCTTGGAAAATGCGTGATATAGGGGTTGAATTATTGTTGTCTCTATTCAATTTTTATGGCTTAATGATGTATAAGACATGGTACGATTGAATGATGTTCACGGTGTTATCACTGCATATGCGTAACATATTCATCACATCTGACTGTACCAAGTGTACCACTAAAAAAGTACGCCGGCTGTATCTCGAAAACTTGCTTTCGCACAGGATTCAGAACAAAATAATCATGAAACTAGTAGCCAAGGAAAATTTCTGGTGAATATTCTAATGTTTTTAGGGCAGCCGCTAGAGGGCGTGATTGCATTGACAGATTCGAAAAAAGGAATTATGTGAAAATTTGGTGAATCAAGGTATGTCACAAACACTTTTCCATCATCCCAAGTTGAAATCATTTCGATACAAGAAAATGGTCCTAGCTTCTAAAATAAATGAAGAAGGAGGATATGAATATCGCTATGGAGAAACTGTCATGAATATATCATGATGTACGTAATTCAACGAACTTGGTCTCGTCATGAAAGGTACTCTCGGTTCTCTCAAAATCATTGAGAATTCCACATGGAACCATGTATTCTTCTCACTCTTTTATAAAAGGAGATCCAACGAAGAAGAGAGTGACGATATCACGAATTTATATATCCGAAGGAACCGGAAATACCTATATTCTAAATAATATCAGATCATATGAATTGAATACGTTCTGAAATAATCACTTATAATATGACGAGAGCTTCAATTATTTGAAGCTGAAGTGGTATTCGGTAAGAAAATTAAAATGTTGATGGTTGTTTGTGATGGAATGTAAGAACTTACGAATAGTTACAACATGTGTTTTTGTGAATTTCAAATTTGCAAGTATACCTACATAATATTATATGGTTAACTGTTGATGAATGATTTTAATTCATTGACTCATAGAATGAACTCGAAATAGTCTGAAGTTGAATGTAAATGTCATTCAACCGATGAACGTCAAAAAAAATTCAGTGTTTTTCATGCTCTGTCCCCCAAGAAGGAGGAAACAATTTTCAAGAAATTTGTTTAGTTTCTATGGTAACGATACAAAATACAGGCTTTGATTTGATCGAAGATGTTTTGTGTGAAATTTTCATTATAATTGGCACCAATGTCTTTCTAGATGCACCAATTGTCTCGCATCATTTTCCATACATAAATTGAGCCATCATCGTGTGGATCAAACTGTAGCTCACACGTCGGCCATTGGTATGCTCTCGACAGCATCCCTGATGCTTTTGATCATATATCGTTCCTAGTTAAAAATCATGTCTTTCAATCTTTCTCTTTGAAAGAAATTTGAACAAGTCAATTCAGGAGACCTAGCTGACCATCCAAACATGCTTCCTCTTTCTTCAGATTTCTATGATTGTCCTCAATCAAACTGACATTGGAATATATATCATCATCTCTCTTTAATGACAATGATCATTGGTTTCCATATTATATTTCATGGACATATCATGGAACAACATTCAACGGCGATGGAGTGGAACATTCTCTGCATCACAAGCACTTTCATTCCAGAATAATCCTCACTCAATGCAAGAGGCTCGATTTCAAAGTTGATGGAGTGTGAATGTTTGGTGCAGAATTATTGGCGAAGAAAACAAAAAACTGAAGGATCAACTTCCACTTCTGTTAGGGAATGTGTAATACGAAGGAGATATGTTTCTTCAGTATGATGGATGCCCGGCACTGGTCGCAATTAGCGTGCGGAATCAGGTATTGAGATCCAGAATATCTTGACAAGTGGATAAAATGGTTGTTTGAATGGCCAACTAGATCTTTAGATCAAATTAGATTCAGAATGGGCCTTTGGGCTATCTGCATCCACACCGCCACATTTTCAGATCTATTGTGTCTGACATCAAAATCGATTTGAGATCTTCGACTAGCCCCGCCTTCTCTATATGACCTCATAGGCTAGCTACCAGATCCCCTGTGTATCTTTAAGCTTCTGGTTTTTTCTCACCCAGCGTAAGAAACCTCAGTCTTGACAAGCCCTTACAGTAGCAAAGTATATGTACTGCTGTTTCCTCTTCTTCCTGACAGAACCTGCACAGCAGTTATTCAGTCAGACCCATCGTACTCATGTGTATGTTGAGCCTACAATGCCCCGTGAGGAGTCCCATCAGTATTTCAGTTGAACTCCGTTTCTGGCTCAGTAGATATTTTGTTAATGTTGGCGATGGTTTTTTGATGAACTAATATGCCTCTCTCATACCTGGCGATTCATTCCACCATTCTTGAGATTTGGTCTGCATCCATGATTTGATACTAGTCTTTTGTATAGCTCTCGCAATACCACAGGAGGGTTCTGGGCCATTCAGAGCTTTGTGTGAGTCTGCCTCTTCATTGCCCTCGTACCCTGTATGTGCTGGTACCCATGCTAGAGTCAGTCTGTTCTGACTACTCAGTTCATTGAGGGGTTTCTATGCAGTCCCATACTAGTTTCGAGTTAACTTCCATATATTTGTCTGCTTTGATGGCCACCTGGCTATCTGAATATATTGCAATGGTTTTGCCTGTAAATTCTTGCCTCATTATTTCTTTCACGCAATGATGTTTTGCAATAACTCCTGCCTGGAACACCGTCGCGTTTTTACCTAAGCTCAGTGAGATTCTTGTCTTTGTCTTGGCCTTATGAATACCAGCTCCTGATTCTTCCTCAGTTTTGAAGCCGTTCGTATTATAGACAGCAATGTCTACATTAATAGGAGGTCCATCCTTCCATGCCTCTTTGTCCGTTATACTTATTCCGAACGTTTTTTCAAAGCTATACTTTGGAATTTTGTCATTTGTTGGCATTCTCATAATGGGGTCACTTTCCAACACTTCATAAAGTTTTTTATAGTATTTACCGTGTGCGTTGCTAATGGGTGTTTGACCCCTTGATAATCTACTCACGACTACTCTGGCTTCGCCTTGAATATGAATTTGTTGTGGTGGTAGGTTCGAGAGGACCTCTGGAGCGGCTGTTGGAGTATTCCTCATTGCACCAGTGGCACTCAGGCAAGCTTGCCTTCGAATAGCACTGAGCCTTCGGAGCTAGGTCTCTTGGTCTGACTCGTTCAAATTTTCAATCAATGACATCAAATCGACTCGATTCGTCATTCATCTCGAAGAACTGATGATCCATTTCTAGTGAGACCAAGTTTGTTGAATCATGTTACAACAAACTGAAGTAATGAGAGTTTTTCCATAGCGCTATCTATCCTCTTTTCCTCTATGTTTTTGGAGAACTAGCGCGCTTCTTCTTCATCGAAATGATTGATAATCAACTCAAGATGATGAATAAAATAATTTTGACATATCGTGATGATCCAAATTCCCACAAAATTGCCTTATTCAAATCAGCAACCACACTCACGCTTTCTAGCGACTATGCTAAACTTGAAATCAATTTCCAGGGATCTCTCTTGGCCACTTTCATTGAAAATATTTTTTTCCGAAACCTGTGCGGCAAATGGTTTCCGAGATAATGCTGGCTCCTTCCTAAGTGGAATACTTGGTACAGTTCACATGTATTTTTTTATCGCTTGGAGCGCACGAAAGGAAATCCCTTTAGTCACTTTGCTTCGAATGAATTTATACTTGATTCGATGGAAACTTCCATCAACACTTGAAGAAATAACATTGTGACGATTTCTCATAGAACTTATTTTTTCAGAATGGCGCCCTTTCTGCAGCACCTTATCTGGCATCTTTCATAGCCAGTTTTGTATTTGGTGCCATATCAGATTTTATTATCAATTCCAAATATGTCTCCCTCGAGAACTCAAGAAAACTCTTCAATACAATAGGTAAGCATAAGTTATCAATCAAAATATCACTGATCAATTCATGTCCTTGTGAGTGAGATTAGAGAAAATATAATGCAATACGACATGATGTTTCCAAACTAGTCTTGGATAAATACTGTTGCTGAATCCCAAGTATTTGTCTAGTATCAATTATATGTGGGTAGTCTCGAAACATTGTGAATTTTCCATGAGTTCGTACAAACAAAGTTCTTAGGAGATCAAGGAGAATCGGAAATCAAGTTTATCTCGATGGATTCCATTACTTTATCGCCTAAGTTCTTATTCACAATGCAAAGGTACCGTACAAACAGGGGATGGAACAGCAATCAAACCTCTGCACTGACATCAACAGGGGTCAGTAAAAAATTATTGAGTATCATGTTGACTCATCGAATACTGAGATGGCTTATGTCTTCATTCACACTGCGGTTAACACCTACTGGCGATTATTTTAATAAGGCCAGGAGTCACATTATGGCCAACATTCGAGAAATTGAACCACTCTTTCGTTAACTCTGGAGCATTAGTGTTTGGAAATGCGAAAATGTACTGTATGATTGTATATTAGGTATTATTAATAATCAAATCGAGAACGTTACAAAATTGTACCTTCATGTCGGCTTCCTTTTTGTCATCCTCAGACCGGTATTATCCTGGAGGTGATCACCATCAGTTTTCATAGTAGAGCGTGGTAGAGCGCACGAAACACAGTAATTTAGAACCAAGAATCCCGTTTATGTCACTTCAAAAGTAGTATGCACTTGTTAGCGACACTCAATAGTTTTGCGACTTTTTCACTGGCCAGCGTTCGAATTCATAGTAACTTGGTCTGTCTGTGTCCATTCTTCGTGACTTGGGCATAGGACGCAGAATATGGAATTTTTCACCAAGAAACTTGTAACGCTCATTTTGCGAACATAAGAAAGCTACTCTTGTTGAAAAGAAGACAGTGTTGCCATCTTTCCCAAACATCATTCCCACCAGGAATGCAATCATGCATTTAATAAAAAAAATACTGAATGCTCACTTAATTAATAGATGATAATCGAAACACATGGTAAGGAATTATCTGCTCAATGAAATATATATTTAGTAATGAAATGAAAAAAAACAAGGAATGTGATGCGTTATGCTCCAGGCAGAGCGCATACCTTCACAAGAGGCCTAGAGTAAGTATCCTCGGCAGTCTCAACAACAGCAACTTGTGAAACGCCATCTGTTCAAGAAACTTGAATATTTCAATGCACTGTATATCTGATAGTGACAGTGAGTCAGTTGTTAATTATGAATAGAGATTGAATTGTCAGAATATTGAATGAAATATATAAAAGGTTTCCCAAAGGGGCATATTCAATTCACAAGTGGTCCTTCGCGCCTTTAGAAACAGCTCTTGGCATGCACAGTCCTCAGAATGGCTTCACAAAAGGTTCTGAAAAATTTACCAAACATGGAGTCAAAACTGAAGAACACTCAGAATAAAATGCTAGAAGATCTTGAGTTAGCTCTGTACGGAAGACATCCGGCAAGTAAATCAATACGAAAGCACATTTTGGCGTTCCTTGAGTATTATTTCGTCGAAAACTCAGAGGATTACGAAGACCACATCGAGTTGGTTGGAGATTCATTGAGCAAGAAAAGTCTTCAACAGCTATGCACTCTATTTGATATTCAGTACAAAAAACCGCGAATGCCAATGATTTGACAATATTCTTCATAAGAACAGTTATCAAGATGTTCGAAATGGCTAACGAAACTGAAAATATGTCTCAAACACATCCGAAAAGTTGCAGTAGGAGTTCAAAAATGAGTTATTTCATAGGATTTGAAAAGAAATCAAAATTGATAGAGATTCAAGATAAAATAATGAAACTTCAAGATTGTGTTACCATAAAACAGGAAGGAATAGTGTGTTCAGAAGCTGAACTGAACAAAATGAAAATTGTAGAAGCAGCTCCCGAACACATAACCGCTAAACAACGTGACTCAGAACAGATAAGGAAAGTCTTTGAAATCTATTAAACGCGCCTCAATTGCAAAGAAAATTCATTACAGAAATACGAAGAGATTTTTCAGATATATTCCGATTCAGGTTCTGAGTTAACAACTTCCTATCAAAATGACATCACTGATATCAGAAGTGACATTTCACAAAATCATAATACACGGGATGTTCGAGAGTTGACTTATAATATAAATGATCAATATTATCAACCATGGACCTTAGATCATTCATCACAAAATCAAATAGGTGATCTAGCACGATTCATCAACAGTATGCTAGCAAGACAAACTGTCAGGAATGAACTAATACCATTCGACGGAAGTTCCTGCTTGAAATGGCCAATTTTTTATTCACAATATAAGCTCTCTAATGAAACTTGCATGTTTTTACCAAAGGTAAATGTTCTCAGGCTGAACAAAAACCTGACAGTTGAAGCTAAAAAGACAGTGGAGATGCTATTAGTAACTGCCCAATCCCCTGATGGGATTATCGACATGCTAGAAAATAAATATAGGCGTCAAGAACCAATAATTGATGAACTTTCAGTGAAAATACGTCACTTACCTGATATCCAGAGCCTTGAGTCCTTCATGGATATCAGCAGTTCAGTTAGAAATATTGCAGCGGTCTCCGAGGGTGACATGACAAGAATGATCGATCAGAAAAGTCTGTTAGCTAATTTGATATCCAAATTACCACCACATCTACTCACCCAATAGGATAGCTACTCGCAACAGAAGAAAATCCGAAGTCACCATGAGTCTTTGAAAGATGTTTCTAATTGGATACAAGATATGTCTCAGATTGTATCTAGGATTGATTGATTGATTGATTGATTGATTGATTGATTAATGGCAGAATGATCAGTCAGGGTTTGAAGCCCAAAACACTGCAGCCTTTGGGCCTATTGTATTCCTGATCATGCTGTTGACTTAGGTGAACAGGTTCGCTACCTTGATGAGGTTTAGCAGCCTCTTCACCAGATCATTCTTTGAAAATGCCTCTTGAGAGTTTACTGCTCCCAGAAGGTTGTATCTCCAACGCACTAGTGCTTCGCACTCCAGTATTACATGGGTGGCAGTTTCCTCCTCCTCATTGCATAGTCTGCATATGGGTTCGTCTGTATAGATGCCCATTTGATGCATATGTTTCCTCAAGGGGCAGTGAACGGTTATTAGTCCCGTCACTTGTTTGATCTGACTTCTGTTTAGGCTCAGAATGTCGTTAGTCACTGTTTTGGACAGTGTTCCAACCATCAGTTTACTGTGTCTTTGTCCTGGGACATTGTTCCAGTATGCCTGATGTCTTTCTTGCATCCACCTTGCCAGCCAGCCGCGTATTGAGGTTTTGGGGATACCGAACACAGGTTCCGGCCCCATAAACAACGTCGCAGACCCTTGCCGGGCAAGAGCGTCAGCTGCTTCATTGCCTTCAATTCCTTTATGCCCTGGCACCCATTGGAGAGTTACCTTGTTGTGGTTAGCCAGGGTTAGCAGGCTCTGAAGGTAATCCCAGACCAATTTTGATCTGATTTTATTGCATGTTAGAGATTGAATGGCCGCCTGACTATCTGAGCATATGAGGATTTGTTTGCCTCTGTATCTTCTTACGATATTCTCTCTCAGGCATGCCCCAATAGCATGCACCTCTGCCTGGAATACTGAAGCATACCTCCCCAAGGAAGCACACATCCTGGTTCTGGGTCTATCTCCATATATTCCGGCACCCGTGCCCTCATCAGTCTTAGAACCGTCAGTGTACCATACTAACGTGCCTTCCTGACAGTTAGTCAAGACCCTTTCATCCCAGTAGAGCTGAGTGTTGAAGGGTCTGTAATAGTTATTTCTAGGCAGCATTTTGTCCCTTCCCATATCCATTAGTGGGCTTGAAACTTGACTGATTATTTTTGTATGTCCCAGGGAGTCACCCCGAGCATACCAGTTGCCGGTACACTCCAGTCTGTATGCCCCCATCCTCGCTTCCGCCCTGATGAAGATTTCAAGAGGTGGAATATTGAGTATGGTTTCCATAGCAGCGGTAGGAGTGTTGCGCATAGCACCTGTGATGCAAAGACAAGCTAATCTCTGGAGTTTTGAAAGCTCCATTATAGCTGATCTCTGTTCAGTCTTAGGCCACCAGACAAGCGATCCATATACAATCATTGGTCTCACCACAGCAGTATACAGCCAATGTACCATGCGTGGTTTCAGTCCCCATGTGTTACCAATCGCTCTCCGAGAAGCCATTAGTGCCATTTTGCCTTTGCTGACAGTCTTTCGCAGTTGAGTATTCCAGGTTAGCCTAGCATCTAGGGTTACTCCCAGATACTTAACCTCCTGTGTCATACTTAGCTGTGTGTCAAAAAGTCTGGGAACTTTTAGTTTGTCCAGTTTCTTCTTTTTCGTGAAGGCCACAAGTGCAGTTTTACTAGGATTGACCCTGGGGTCTGCCTTTCTGCACCAGCCCTCTACTATCTTCAGGGCTCTCTGCATCAAGTCTGAAATAATCTCAGGATGCTGCCCCTCTACTAGAATGACAACATCATCTGCATACCCCTGTGAGTGAATTCCTACATTGTTTAGTTTTTTCAGGAGTTCGTCAATAACCAGATCCCACAGCAGGGGAGAAAGAACTCCTTCCTGTGGGCAACCCCTAGAAATCGTCACCTCCATGGTTTCACCAAGCAATGTGGATTCCGCTGTTCTGTTGTGTAGCATGTTTTTTATCCACCGACATGTGGTGTCTTCCACGCCACGCCCAACATCCGCTGCTACCATGGATATGAAGGGTGTGTGGTCGAATGCCCCTTCAATATCCAGGAAAGCCGCAAGAGCTATGCTCTTGTTGCTTATTGCGGCCTCAAGTTTCCCCACCAGTTGATGAAGTGCCGTTTCACAGGATTTTCCCGATTGATATACATACTGGTTTTTATGTAGTGGCCTTTCAATGAGAAAGTTTTCCCTGATATGCATTTCAATTAACTTCTCCATCACCTTCA